CATGTGTCAATGCAACTATCTAGAACGCTTTCTGGCTTGACCAATCTTTTATTCAATAGAAGGTATGCCAAAACCAACACACAGAAAATATATCATCCTTCTAGTCCTCATTTTCTTTTTTCTTTTTACTTGTCTGTAATGCACTTTCTTTGGTTTATTGATATACTGCACTTCTGAAGTGAGCTGCACTGTGGTGTTTCTATAGGTTTCATGCAACATGCTTGTACATAAACACGTGTGAGTTAATTTTTTAGGATGTTGGCATAAGCTGTGGTCTATGTATATCATTTGAATTTACTTACCTTATAGATAAAATGAACTTCGCATCATATTGGGCCATATCGGCCAGTTTGATGCTCCTGGGATGGACCAGATGAAATAGGGTATTGTGCATTGTTTTACTTTTTCACAATGAGCATGCATAGAGAGTTTGAGAAAAACAATGACATACCAGACGATGGATGACACATCTAATATTTTATTCATTGAAATTAGCAGAAATCTGGATGAAGTGTCTAATGCCAAGCGGCAACGTCTAAGGCCAGGGAAGTTGTCTCCTCGTCGACCTGTTCCAGATCATATACCAAGGCCTCCATATGTCAATTCTCGGCAACCACCTGGCGTTGCAAGTGGGGCCGAAGTGCATGATGAGAATGGGATAGAATGCATGAGATCTTCTGGAAAGCTTGCGGCCCAGGTTCTTCAGTATGCTGGGACTTTAGTCAAGGTAAAATGATGTTACTTTCTGACCAGTCAAAAGGATAGTTATCTTGTGCTTTATATAAATTAATTAAAACTCATTATAGCACTAAGAAACTGTAGTGATTTATTTTATCTTGCCATGAACTTTAGCCTCTTATTTTTCCTATTGCCTTCTTCTAGTTTGTATTAGTAGGATTGGTAGTTATGAGTGGGTCAGTTATTGAGAATATACTGATTGTCCATGCATTAAAAAGAAGTGGTCAGTCATTTTAACTGATCTCAAAGTTCTAATTGGTGTTTTTGTTGGCAGCCAGGTATAAAAACAGATGACATTGACCAAGCAGTTCATCAAATGATAATTGATAACGGAGCATATCCTTCACCTCTTGGATATGGTGGGTTTCCTAAGAGTGTCTGCACATCGGTGAATGAGTGCATTTGCCATGGAATACCAGACTCACGTGCTCTTGAGGTCTCTCTGTTAAGTTTTGGAATTTCAATCTCTCTGTAGTTGAGCTATTATCTGTTAGAATGAGTAAAATGTTACTAAGCCATTGTGTTTTTTTTTTTTTTTCTTTTGCAGGATGGTGATATAATCAACATTGATGTTACCGTTTATCTAAATGTGAGTGTCTTCTCGTTTTTCATTTTTTCCAGTAGATCCTTGAGTGAACAGATGTGATATCTCTGTAGTTTATGGGAAAAGTGGAACTGGTTTTAAAGAATAAATCATAGCTTGTCTGCAATTATTGCTCATTGCATATTCTGATTTCTCTGTCTCTTAAATCTAATGATCTTATTTTGATGTGCAGGGTTATCATGGTGATACCTCAGCAACTTTCTTTTGTGGAGATGTTGATGACGAAGCCAGAAAACTGGTTCAGGTAACTCTTTGGAATGGCACTTATGTGGCATCCATTTGTTTCTGTGGTTGCCATCATCATTGGAGACATCTATGAGATTTTCTGTACCGAGCTAGAATATCATGCTTAAAACTTAACTTTAAGCTTATCTAAAGCATCTGCAAGCTTTGTAGCATACTTGGACAACCTGAAACAGTTCTGTCAAAACACCTTTGTCTCAGTGTTAGTCTTGAAGTCTGTTAACCAAATTAACAGCCACCTATTTAACGAAGACTCTAACTTTTGCCATCTAGGTAAATTTTTTATTACATTCATGTAACCACTAATTACTAGTTTTGTACAGTTCTGGACACTAGAGATCACCATTTGATATGATTTTGCGTACACGCTAAATGTTCTATCCTTTTTCTGCTATACATGGAAATATAGCAATGTCTTTTAAATCACAGACTGATTTTTTCTTAACAGAATATGCCTTTTCATCTTCTATGGATTAGAGACTAAATATAGTCATCCTTTTATGCCTGATGAAAGTAAATATTATCATTTAAAGTTCATCTTTGTTAGCCATCATTGGTTTCCACGTACTTTTCTTTGGAAAATCCTAAGAAGTAGTCTCTTGTGAAGAATAATTGTTTGAGTAGATGAATTTTTCTGCGAATCTTGTTCATTTTAGGTATATATGTATGAGAATGTTTGTTGATGATCCTACAGGTGACTGAAGAATGCCTTTACAGAGCAATATCAATTTGTGCACCGGGAGTGGAGTATAAGAAAATTGGCAAAACAATACAGTAGGGAACCTGCTATAGCATTCTATTTACTCAGTTTTGCATTTTCATCATCTTCTCTCCTGTACAACTGTGGTGGGAATGTCAGATTCATTATATAG